CTGAGACCTCGAATGTTCATTTCCAAGCTGCCTGTGACTGGTCCCAGAGCATAAGAAGCCAATGATTGTTTCTAAATGCGATCACAGCCTCACAAGTGAGTTAGTATAAAAGGATCCTGGGCACACTGGAAGAATCATCCTAGGTGAGAGGACAAACCTTTGCTACCCTGCCGAACTGGATCTCTCCCTTGAATTCCTGAGATCTCTCTTGTGCCAGTGTACCAGTGAAACGTAAACCAGGGCTTCCCCTCCAAGCCAATATTATTAAATTGACACAAGCAAAACTCCACTTGCAAAAAAGAGAAGTTATAAGTTGAGTTATAAGGTGCTTTTAGTCTTTCAAAGTCTTATGCTTAAAATGAGGACAAAAGAATGCTACAGACCGAATACTTGTGTCCCCTCAGTATTCATAGGTTGAAACCTAATCTCCAAGGCGATGGTATTAGGATGTGGGGCCTTTGGGAGGTGGTTAGGTTACGAGGGTGGAGCCCTCTTGAATGAGATTAATGCTCTTATACAAGAGACCCCGCAGAGCTCCCTCACCCCTTCCACCACGTGAGGACAAAGGAGAAGACAGTCGTCTATGAACCAGGAAGCAGGCCCTCCCTCACCAGACTGCTAATCGGCCGGCACCTTGATCTTGGACTTCCCAGCCACCAGAACTGTGAGAAACAAATCTGTGTTGCTCCTAAGCCACCCAGTATAAGGCATTCTTTTATAGCATCCCCCAATGGACTAACACCGAGACAGGTGTTTCTGCTATAACGTGGCAAATGCAGTTCAGTAAATGCTCATCGTCTGCAAAATCTTGCACTTATAAAATCCAAGTTCACAGGAAAAATAAGGTTCAAAATCTATGCAGCTCTGTAATCAGAACAACAACAACAACAACAACAATCAATCAATCAATTCCAAAAAACATGACTACTGGTAAGGAGACATGTTAAATTGATTTAAAACAATTTTTTTTTTTTTTTTTTTTTGCAGTATGCGGGCCTCTCACTGTTGTGGCCTCTCCCGTTGCGGAGCACAGGCTCTGGACACACAGGCTCAGCGGCCATGGCTCACGGGCCCAGCTGCTCCGTGGCACGTGGGATCCTCCCGGACCGGGGCACGAACCCGTGTCCCCTGCATCGGCAGGCGGACTCTCAACCACTGTGCCACCAGGGAAGCCCTGATTTAAAACAATTTTTTAAATACAGCTATAATGATAGAATTTGACCTTAAAAAACCACAGTTAAGGCAGTATGGTGGAAAGGGGTGTAAGGAAGAATGGAAGCTGCTGGGTTGTGAGCAAATGGGCAAAGGACCTGAGCGGTAAGCATCCTAGGACAGGGCACATGGCCACCCTGAGCCAGAGCACCGCAGAGTGACGAGCACCATGGACAGGACCGAGTTCCTCTGAGGCTTCTGCCCGCAGCTGTATTGATGGTCCCCTGGGGTCAGGGCTGCTGCCTGGTCCCACAAAACACTGATGTACTGGCAAAAATGGTACATGAACCAACCCTACTTCTGTGCCACAATGACATCATCCCATACTTGCCAATCATGTATGAACAAATTTGCAATAACAAAACACCAAGACGGCCAACCTGCCTGCACCAACCCCATCCACTTCGGGGAGACTTCAAGGCAGCCACGGTGCCCTTCGCGTTGCAGCAGCTCCCCAGAAGCACCTATGAGGCACATACGTATGTGCAGACACAGTGCTGACACAGTGTGGGAATCTCAGAAAAACAAGATTCACACGACCTGGGGAGGGTGACCCATGAGTAAATCAATGTGAGATAAATGTCAGAAAAGAGACTTGCACATGGTTTAATAATCATCCGGAGATGCCTAGAACACTTTAGCTGTTGGTTGGGACAGTTTTATGGGGTCGTTTGGAGCAACAGCTCCAGGTTTAAAGCAGCTTGGAGTCACATCCTGCCTCTCCTGGGAAATCTTAAAAAAGTTATTCTACCGATCCATGCAGCTGTTTTCTATAAGACAGAAGTAATAATAATAATAGTCCTTGTCTCACGCCAAGGAATAAATGAAATAATGCAGGTAAAGCACTCAGCACAGCACCAGTAACTATCAGAGCTGCTTCCAGCTGTCCTTCTGCTGGAGACTGAGGCATCTGGAGGAAAGGGAATAAACAGGAGCTTTTCTTCTTGGCTCTGTAAGGGCCGTACAGTTCCGGTACATAAAGGGCACTTTGCAGTGGTCAGGTGAGTGAATGGATTTTAATGGGCACGAACGTGGCATTTGAGAATTGCTGAGGATGACTCTCTTTCTTCCTCCTTTTGATCCTCACATTCCGAGAAGTTAGCAAAGGTGAGCATCTTGCCTAAAGCCTCTCAGCTCGTTAGCAGGAGGACCAGGGAGTAGGCTGAGCCTGAGTTCTGGGTGGACCACAATCATGCCTGCAGAGCCTGACCAGCAAAGGGCTGGACTGACCTCGCTCACATCCTACACTAAATGCATTTAAATATGGTTTCTAATTCCAATACCTTGCTGTTTCTCACACATAAAATTCCATTAGCTTGACAAGCCTACCAAATACTCAGATGTGAGACAAGATGTAGTTATGTTTAAACTGCATTCAAACTGCATGTGTGGGAAGATGCATTTTGGGGCACCTGTGGCAGTGGAATCACACTTCACATGGCACCAATTCTGGAAAGTGGGACCCACCAAAGGGTGTCCTTAAAGCTACCGAACACTTTAAGCAGAGGAGTGAGAAATTCCAGTAAATGTTTTAAAATTATAAATCATCTAATTTCACTGCTCAAGGAATCCTGTGAGTGCTTGGGACTCCCATATTTCTGATGAGGCAACTAAGGCTCAGAGACGTGAGATAATTGTTCCAAAAGTCCCCAAATCTAGATGTGTCAAGGTCAAGGTCTGAACTCAGCCTGCCTGACTGGACTGCATGCGGCGTGTCCACTCTGCCCATGGGATTCCCAACTGGAAGCACATGACCCCCATCCTCTGCCCCCGCCCCACATATTTAGGACTAACTGGGCCTCTCCATTTCTGACCGGAAGTGTGGATAAATGTGAACACTTCCTCTTTCATAAAGGATAACTTCATTTCTAGAGAAAGAATCCAAGGCATCAGATGAAAGATCCACTAAGTAATGCAGGAAGCAGGCCTGTAGACATTTGGATGTAGCCCTGCTCAGGTCTGACTTCATTTACTTGGAGGACTGCAGCCCATGACAGATGCTAGAGGCACTCGGATTATTAGCAGGTACTCCTGTCTGCACTTGGAGAGTGCATCCTCTGGTAAAACACTGTCCAGCTGTACACATCCAAATGTTTCTTAACAGCTGTTATTAAAAAGGAAGAGGAACAAATATTTTTAAACCAACTTTAGATTTCATGAAAGTTCGTTCTGAAAACATTCTACCTGAATTCTTCTGAACTGAAAAGTGGTTACGGTTGAGTGGTTTGAAAGTCTATTTGATGCGGTCAAGAGGAGGGGAGAGATGCTTAGAGTCGGAGCTCCGCTCAGATGTCCCCCTGCTGAGCCCAGGCACTCCCTGGGAAGGGGTCTCATCTATTCTTGTCCAGTTCTCGGCACAGCGGCTGCCCGTAGCACGTTTACAGTGACGTCAGCTCTGCCGCTTGGAAGCTGTGAGCCTTGAGCGCAGCCTTGACAGCTCCACATCGTGCGCATGAAAGGACTACCTTCCTCCCCGGAGGCTTGCTGAGACGGCACGTGTGCCAAAGGGCTTGGAAACCACACAGTTATGGATCAGGTGGGGAAAGAAACTAAAATATTAGGGAACCACACTCTTGGAGAACCACATAGGATGGCATGGGGTCAAACGCCAACCTGAGACGGGGTAGATCAGCTGGAACCAGAGCAGGAGGGAAAAGTCACCCGAGATGCGTTGGCAGAAAAACAACCCCCTCCCCAACAAAGATGTCACGTGCTAATCCTAGAACCCGTGAGCACTCGAAGTTATGTGACAAAGGGGAATGAAGGCTGCAGATGCAGTTAAGGTTGCTTGGGATGGGGAGATGGTCCCGGACTATCCAGGCGGGCTCAATGTACTCATAAGAGTCCTTAAAAGCGGAAGAGGGAGGCAGAAGAGAGAACCAGAGAGGTGGCAGCCTGAGAAGGTCTCAACCTGCCATCGCTGGCTTAGAGGAACAAGCAATGTGGGCACCTCCAGAAGCTGGAACAGGGTAAGAAACGATTCCCCCTGAGAACCTCCAGAAAGAACACAGCCCTGCCGACACCTCGACTGGAGCCCAAGGAGCCGTCTATCCTCCAGAACTGCAAGAGGATAAACCTGTACTGCATAAGTGGCTACATTTACGACAAGTTGTGAGAGCAGCACAAGGACGCGATGTCACGGCTGAACCAGGGTTTACACTGCTTGGGCAAAGTGGAGGGAGGGGACGTTGCAGGCCGCGGACCTGCTTGGGAAAAGGCCTGCAGCCAGGAAGCACACGGTGCACGGAGGGAGCCTGGAGGAGCCCACCTTCCAGGAGCAGGACCTTGACAGCACCGAGGGCCAAGGTTACGGAGGCCTTTGAGCCTCCGGGAGGGAGGCCAGACACGATGAGCACCACTAAGGGTTTGACCTGGCGGAACACAACGGAAGGAGCCACAGAACAGCCTGGGAGAAGCAAGTGTGGCAGAGATGAGAAGCATCAACAGGGAGGCAAGAGAGGACAAAGGTCACTGCCGGCCCCTGGCCGCAGCGGTCCAGCCTTCTCTCCCGCCCTTTTCTCACAGATCAATCACATGCAGGTGACCTGATCTGGGCCCAGGAAGCAGCAGCATCCTTTTTACTAACTAGTCTCTGGAGAAGACACGTATCCTGAGCCTCAGGGCTCATTCTCTAAAATGCAGATTCTGCAGCAAGGCCCTCCCCATCGTGAGAATTAGAGCTAACTCGTGTTAAATGCCACCCTGAGCTCAGTGAACCATCGCTGTGTCTGTGGCCAGAGCAACTAGCCCTGCAGTCAGAATCCTTCCCATGGCGCCGGCGCCTGTACCTGGATGTTGAGTCTCCCCCGATGCGCCCCCAGGCCGTAGCGCTTCGAAGTGGACGCGTGGAGCTGGAAGTCTGTGATTTTTAAGGTTTCCAGACCAAGAGGCGGGCAACCTGGAAAGGACAACGCTTATTAAAAACAAGGACAGATGTTGAGAGAAACGAACTTCTGGTTTTCTAAATCTGGCCACGTGCTCCTCTGTCTTTCCCCTGAACTCCCGCTCAGCACTGCAGCCCCACTCACTGGTATGCGCAGCGTTTCCGGACCAACGCTGTCGATTCAACTGTTGACATTATGCCAGTTTTCCTTCTTGTCGGCATTTCCTTTCTGGGTGTTTATGCCCTGATATTCCTCCTGTCTGATGCTGTCCATGCTACTGTCTGAGGCTGTTTCCAATTAAGGATCCTTCCGCAGTGTGACTCAGCCAGGGAGAGTTATTGGTTAGAAAGTTCAGAAGGATTCCGTGGCTGAGCTTCTGCAAATTAATCAGAACTTGTTGATTCTGCTTCAGCAACTCTTGCCTTTGTATTGTGAATACTAATGAGCAGAGCAACAGAAAAACACAAACAAACAAAAAAACGATTGTCTTCCATTCCTGGCAAAACTGGTCATTTTGAGAATGGCTACTCGACGCAGTTTCGTCCAAGCTGCCCCTGGAATAAGACGCTGGCACTTGGGCAGGCCCTTGGCCATCATCCCAATCCAGCCCATCGTCCCTACGGATAAGAGCTTTAACAGCAGCCCTCGGGCCAGATCCCAGGCCTCCTGACGCCTGGGCTGCTATTCTCACCACCCACCCTACCACGGGGCTGGAAATCTCCAAGTGATGCTATCTTCTTCAAATCTCGCCCTGGCGAAAGAAAACAAACACTCAGGAGGAGAAGTGAACAAAATCTACTTCTGTGAGAAACCCCTAGTGTAACAGAGGCAAATTGTAAACGCCCTGTGGGCCACTGCTGAGATGGAAGCGCCCCTGGGGATCCCTGGGGTCCCTGGGGGACGTGAGCGTGTCTGTCCATCCACAACAAACCCCTGCAGGGAAAAAGCCCTTCTGGTCCTGGGAGGCTGGAGGAGCCTCTGGCGAAACAGTGCCCGCAGGGCATGCTCTGCGGGCACCAGGTAGAAAGTCTGTCCAGGTGCTGCAGCCAGAGGAATTCAGACCTGCCAGGACCTGAGACGCCATCAAGTCCTCCCCTTGAGTTCTCAGAAGAGGAAACCGAGGCCCCGAGACTTGAGGCGAACCACCCAAGGCGTCCCTGCCAGCGGCAGAGCCACGCCTCAGATCCCTGTCTCCAGATTCTCAGCTCCGGGCTTTCAAACGATGCCATGCTCTCCCCTGCCCACATCTGCCAGGAGGCTGCCTGTACTAGCACAGGGAAGCAGAGGTACTGGTGCCCAGCGTGGTAAAGAGCACAAGAGAGGAGGTGACAGTTCCACTGGCACCGGCCTGATGCTGCCCCAGGATTCAGAAGCCTTCAGGTGGCCTCGTGATCATTCTCAAGATTTCTGGCAGGTCTACTCAATGTCCAAAATAAGCAAAATAAGCCGCCTCTCCTGCTTGGACCCGCAATGTAGAACAATACCACATGGGAAAGAAAATGACACAGGATGATTAAGAAACCTGGACAGCTCTCGAGGCCCCCTCTTGGTCCTTGAGGGCACATCTGCAGAACTTCAGCCACTCAGCTGCTGCCTGGACTTTGACACAGTGGGGGACTGCTGCTACCAGAGCCCCAAAGGCAGTAAGCCTAACAAAACCCACAGAATGAATCAGCCATCTCAAGGAAACCTCCGTATCTTCAAACCGGGAACTCCAGAAGGGCAGGGGGGATAGAAAGCAGACGAGCGGCCCCATCCCAGCCACAATTCCTGCCTTGTCCATGGCTTCCAGGAGATAAGAGACAATCACACTAACACGAGGCTTCTCACTGGCAACCCCTGCATCCAAGGGCTGAGGGGAAGAAATGAGAATCTAGAACCTACTATCTGTCAATAGTCAAAAGGGCATCTTCAGGGCTTCCCTGGTGGCGCAGTGGTTGGGAGTCCGCCTGCCGATGCAGGGGACGCGGGTTCGTGCCCCGGTCCGGGAAGATCCCACATGCCGCGGAGCGGCTGGGCCCGTGAGCCATGGCCGCTGGGCCTGCGCGTCCGGAGCCTGTGCTCCGCAACGGGAGAGGCCACAACAGTGAGAGGCTCGCATACCGCAAAAACAAACAAACAAAAGGGCATCTTCAGACAACTGCTTAGAAAATTTACCCCACTCCCATTATAACCTCAGATTCTGGCTGAAAATACTGCTGGAATAATGTGCCAGACACACGCACACACACACACACACACACACACACACACACACACACACACACGGTACAATAAGACCTGAGTGTTCTGTGCAGTGACTCCCCCCAAAAGAGCCCAGTGCGCTCTACCTGCCAAAGAACTCCAAAAGCAATGCAAAGTTGTAGCAAGAAGCTAGAATTCCTTTGGTTTTAGATTCTCAGAGATACATCCGGCCCCTGTCCAGAGAAGAGTCAGTCATGATACCATCTCCCAACAGGCAGGACTTTTCTCCATCTTTAGAAAAGACTACTCAGGAAGCCAGGGGTGCTGCCTCGAGGATCAAATAAACAGAGGAGACTCAAGTGTTTCAAAGCTTAATTTAAATCTCCACAATGAGAAAGTCAAAAGGCCAGGCAGAGTGATGGCATCATTACTGGAGTGTGATAGGTTGGTATTATAATCAAGATTATAATGTCTATTGAGGAGATAATTACTAGGTTGAAAGAGTGCTTGAAGTCAATGGGAAGCTCATTCCCAGCTCTTCACCCCTCCCCTGTCCTCTGAGTCCCCAGCCAGGCTGCACTCAGGTAGTAGCTCTGGCAGTAACTCAGCCAGGACTCAGCTCCTGGGCCAAGCTGTTCCAGCAGCAGCCCCTGAACAGCCCCCGAGGCAGCTCCCTGTTCCTCCTCCAAAAACAAACAAAACCCTTTATCATCAAACCACATTTTTGTTATTTCTAAGAGGAAAGAGACTCTAATCCTGAGAAGCATGTGGGTGAGGAGAACATGAAAAAAAATGTGTGAAAAGAACACTTCAGGAAAATATTAATTAGAGATGGGAGATGTGTCATAATCTGGAGGAAAGAGCGACAGTCGTCAAAGATGACTCGACTTTCCTCTTCCAGGCAGCGTGGCTCCTGAGAACACCCTGTGCTGAGCGGGGCACTGCTTCCCAGGCCTGAGCTCTGTTCCCAGGACGTGGGCGAAAAGGGGACCCTCTGCCTCATTCCACACCTGCCCTTCGACAAGTGCACACAGGCAGACACACGTTTAATTAAATCTGTCCCTGGCTAAAATTCTCTGCATTGCAGCCACTTTACAAAATGGACATTAGCACTATGGCAATATATTTATTATTCTCACCACCATCAATTACCATATGTGCATACCAGCTCTGTAACAAATCAGGAGTGCTCATGGCATTTAATTTTGTGACCTATAAGTTACGGAGCACAGTCAGACTAGCGTGTATAAGTTGGAATTCTGAATCAGGTGTATCAGTCCCAACACCCTCAATGCCCTAAATCTGTCTGCAGGGGAGGCTGTTATGAGAGTCAAGAGAATCATTTTAAAAGGTCTGGGGAGCAATGCAAGCAACTACCATGAGCCAGACCCTCTGAAGACACTTTGTCATTTAATCTTCAGAAGAACCGTGAGAGATGGGCATTACCATCCCCATTTTACCCATAAACAAAGACTCAAAGAGGCTTACACAGAGTTACGCAGCTCCTAAATATCTGAGTTAGAATTTGAAAATCAAGTGTGACATAAAATCCCAGGCACAGTCTTTACGCCACCTCCCTTGGACTTGAAAACTCAACAGTGTGGTACAAATCCAAGTTGCATGGTGGCATTTGGGGTCACAGGGAAGACAGGAAGTGAGGCTGGGACGGGGGTCACCAGTTGGCAGAGGGGAGCTCAGAGTCCAAGGTCTTCTGGCCTGCTGTGAAGTCTGCTGGAAACAGAGCAAAGAATTCTCCATAGACCTCGAGAGCACTGCCAGGGGCAAGCTCACAGCCATCCTGAACTTTTGCTTTCATGGTCGCCTATAAACCGAATAAGTCTTAGAACATTCTTTCCATCGCCTTTCTGAACCTGACATTCCCTTGGATCAGCGAGAGCGTGAGGGCCCTTCCTGGTGCACTGGAGAGTGTTTGCAGTGGCTCTTTGCCCGTCCCAGAGGGCACGCCTCCCTTGGGGTCTTGCAAAGGAGCTAATCCCAGCCTTATCTAATCACCCTTGGAAAGCTCCTCCCTAACTTCTGGACTCCTTCAGGAAGCAGTTCTCACCCTGACCCAACATCAGAATCTTCTGGAGAGAAAAAAAAAAAAAAAAGATGCCTAGACCCCCTCCCCAGAGACTCTGATCCATGGGACTGCAGAGGGGCCCAGGCCCTAGTCTAAGGCTCCCAAGTGAATCTTCTGAGACCCTGGTTGGCTGGTGTCCCTTACCTGTAACGCTACACAAACTCAGGATTCTCTTTTCCAGGCCCCGGGGGGTCAGGCAGAGGAAACTCTCAGGGAGCTGGGTATCAGCCCACGCTGGTGGAAGCCACTCATGCCTGGAGCCTGCCAGACCCTCGTGTAATCTACAAGCTCCGACCTCAGATCAGTGGTGGCCTCACATGCAAAGCCTCCAGAGACTTCATCCCTCAACACCCACCCCTCTCATCCTACCCACCCCAACCTAAGAAAAGTACAGACCACACTGTGAATGTCCCAGGGCAGCAACCATGAGTTCTCATCATTGAAGTCCCAAAGCCCAAATCGGTGTTTCCCGCGTGAATGAATTTGTAATACAATCCAATATAACTAATAATCACTCCAATATAACTAATAATCACTATGCCTGCATCGTCATGGAAAATTAAGTCTGTTCTTTACATATCGCTTGTAAAGCCAAAAAAGGAATAACTGGTTCAAAATAGCACTTCTCAAACCTCAGTCCCTTGCTTATCATCTCCATGAATTTTTCCAGGCACTATTGCTTAATTGATTACTATTACTTAATTTTTATTTAAGTCAAGTAATTTCAATGGAAATATGTTAATGTCA